TTTTCTGCTTCCGGGCTGCTTGGGCAGCCTGGGGGTTGGAAGATCTCTGGACTCGTAATGTTAATTCTTGCCTGTGACTCTTTGAATAAACCAGCACGGTTATATTTTTTATATACTCAAGTGGTCTGAGTCGTCCCTCTGAGTTCCTGGTTTGAAAGAACCGGACGTGGCTTTATAATAGAATAGAGCCTTTAATAGCAATCACCCCTACTGAGATTTTATTTATTTTTTGTCATTTAAGTTTTCTTAATTTACTATTGCACAAAGATGGTAGCAGTACAAATATGACAAAATTAAATGCAATAAACTGCTTAACCACATTTGGGACCTAATTAATCCAAAAAGACATCAAACCAAAAGGCAGTCTAAAGCACAACAACATAAACATTCCAATATACTGTACTCCTTATCAGAATTTCTCTGGACACACGCAGGTCACCAAGACCACTCAGGGGAATGACTGCTAAAACACCAGGATTGCTGGTGGGGCTCAGGGCCACAAGCACTTACTGGTTCATTCTCAGAACCAGGCAAAAGACTGTGGGTGTTCGAGGGGGGCACCAAGTGAGCAATTAGCTGAGGTTGTTTACATGGTGACGGTCAGCGCTGAGGCCCGGCTGAGAGCAAAGGTTGCTCCGGAAGGCAGCTGCGGAGCTGGACCTATAGCCCGGAGTCCTTACAGAAGCTAGGAGTTGACAAGAAGGCTCAAGGTGAAGGGGACAACTGCCTTGAACTCCAGCACAAGACCAGCATTGTAAGTGGGAGCCCTCTGGAAGCAGAGCAGGAGATCAGCATGGAGGACAAAATCCTGCAGGAGGACAGATGGAGGGCTGGTGAGGAAGGTGATACCCCTCTGCAGGATGAGCAGGTGAGGGAGCTGCTCCCAATAAAAAGAGATTTTGTTAAAGTTAAGTGTTTGACTTTTTGTTTTCCTTAAACTGCTTTCCAGTTTGACTGGAAATCCATTTTCACCCTAATTATTACCAAATCACAAAATCTATACTGTTCTCTCCCTAACACTTTTATTTTGGTTTTGTCACTACAAATCATAACTGGTGCTTTTCCCCACTGGGTCTTCTCAAAAAACCATGCACTCAGTTTATTCAACACATAAGACATACACACACTCATACAAGAATCACCAGACCATTCACACTCAGATTTGTGACTGTGATGTAGTGTTCCAAATTCTCACCTCAGTCCCAGTTTCACCAAGTGGTTCTGGCCAGTAGCCTGTATAACTGCTGTCCTCAAAGCCCACTCAGCAGTTGCTAACTAGCAGCAAATGTCCAATTATGGGCCACTCACTGCTATTAACTCTGACCAATGCAGCCCCACACTTAACTAGAGGATCCCAGCTACAGTCTGAAGCTCTACAGAGATTAGCAGGGCAAATCGTTTTGTTTTACAGCACTTAATTTATTAGGATCTTGCAATTCAGCTTCTCTCTTACCTCATAAAAACACAAATAAATGTGTTCATACAATTAAAGATTGATGGTATCAACACACCTAAATCTTTAATTAGGGTCTTGCTCATTCAGTCAGTTTACAGCCTAAAAGAACAAATAGGTTTTTAATTTTACTATTAAGAAACAGCTGTATTTGCTTCCCCTAAACTAATCAATTAGGTGTGCCCATTCAGGCCTCCCCAACAATAGTTGTACAACAGTAGCACACATTTTTTTATGCTTAGTTAAAATAAAAACTACAAAATATTCAGGCAGGCTAATTAACCTTGTCAAGTTAAAGTGCCATTTAATGCTATTTAATGTTTAATTTTGGGTATCTGTAGATTAGCTTTGCACCCATCATAACTCCAAATAGTTTGTAATTATTTCAGAATAATAAAACTCGATATCACACGAAAAACGTCCTCCTGAAAATGAAAATAGTTCGTGAACATGCACAACTCCTGTTGCCAGTCAGGAAGCTATGACAGCACATAAACAAAATAATTTTGACAAATAAGCTATATTTTTGACAATGACAGTACCTCAAATCCTACCTGACATGTTTGAGCCAAAATATGAATGTGGACAGCACGGTGAACTGCAACAGCATTAATTAATTTGAATTTCTCTTCCATGGATAGGTAAACAACGATATATGTACCAGAGAAAAAAGATTTGTAACATTCTAAACAAAGCAGGTAATTGTGAAACCCCATATTTTAACTGGCTTAATGCAGACATAGTAACTTCTCCAGCCTTACAACAATTTTCTCTACAGAAACAAGGCATTAACAGACATGCAATTTGTTTTTTTTTAAACTTATGTTAAGTCCCATCGAGTAGTGGAAATTTCAAGGTCTGTATATCCAACCAGTGATTGCCGTGTCTTGCACCACAAATCCCACACGTTACAGATGGCCGCATACATTTCCAAAGTAGTGAAATTAATTCCAACAGGTAGCATTGCACTGACAGTAACATCATGGATGGTTTGAATCCTATCCTCTCACCAACCTGCAAAACATCACATGTGGCATACACACTCGCCTCTAGCAGTCAAAGAAACATGTATTGTGCTCTGGGGGAATCCAGCATTGATGAGCTGATCATTCACCGCCACCAGGGTGCTTCACTGGCCGGGTGATTGTAGGTTAGACCTGGTCAGGTAAAACAGTGTGTCCCTTTACATGAACATTCCCAGACATCCAGCAACCTCAGGCCCTGTATTTGTCTCTATATCCTCTGGTCACAATGCAGGCAGCAGGGGGTAAAATACTGTATATCCACAAAACTGCATGCAGTCAAAAAAATCATGCATTTAGAATGGCAATTCCATAAACTATTGTGTAAGAATTTACATAGAAAAAAATTCTCGCCAGTTCAGAAGTCTTGTATAAAAAGTTGCTTCTTCAAAGAAGCACAACAAAATATGTATATATGTACCTAGTTATTTGAGCTTTCAGTCATGTTTAAGATGATAATTCATTGTTGTAACATTGTAGATAAGTCAGGAAACAGAAAAGCATGCCATGGGCTCTTTACGAAATATGCATATAAGAGTGTACTATAAAATTAGTAGGCTAAATATAAAGGTACTTTCATAGATAGTGTTTTTAAATCTGTAGTACTGTAATTATTAACTCATCTATTTGATAGTTCCATTAAAATACTGTCAAACTATATTATTGTCAACTTAAAACGTCTGAAAATACATTACCTTACTTAAATGGTATGTAGTTGTTTGAAAGTGGTAAATCACTGAATATATTTAATAAACATCGTTTTTAAAGTAGTTTAATAATATTTAGGCATTATCTACTCCATATTATTGGATAAACATGTACAATGACAGACTACCACTGTTAAAAATAGGGTGAAGTAAATGTAAATGCTGTTGACGGACTGAATAAAATGAGAGGTTACTGTAATTTAGAAGATAATTATTGAAATCGCAAAAATGAATTTTATTTTTTCAGTTTTTTTAGTTTTTTTGTTTTTTTTTTACAGTGCACAAGATGCGGTCATCCCTCTGAATGAAGGAAGCTGAAGTGGGAAAGCATTTGAAATGCTATATAAATCAGTGGAAATACATTTATGCACACATGCATTTGAGGGATGGCTATCACTCTTATTTGTCTGAGGCTGACACTGGGTTTGTTTGAACTAAACTCAGCTCCTGCCTTGAATGTTTGTGGGGCTCATTTGAAAGAACGTGCTGGGTGTACAGAGGTTAAGGCTGTTGCTGGGGTCAATACTGAGTCTGTGAAATGTAAGCTGCAGGGTACTGCTCATCTACCTGCATTTTCAATGGAAGGCAACTACGTTATTGGAGGTGTTTTCTCCATACACGAATACTTGCCTGCAGTGAGACATAACTACACCACCAAGCCTGAGCCATTGCAGTGCATAGGGAGGTTAGTAAAAGGAGGAAGAAAGGCCTACTGGAAATGGATGTGACTGTGTGGTATAGAGCTGTTTTAAAGTGTATGGTGTTATTACAATATTGAACATTCAAAGTAAATATTTTCCTTTTTTTTCATATAAACCTTCAAATCAGTAGGCCTATTAGGTCATAAAAATACAGGTATTTTACACACAAAAACAGCAGATTGCGGCTGTATTTTTTTATAACACCATTTTGTGTTTCTTAACAAAAAAATGTAGCAATGCTATAGAATTTTGGTTCTTACAGATGCAGAAGTTTTGGTATGGTGATGGCTGTTGTTGGTTATTTTCTATAACTATGAATTACAGTTTTTCCTCATTGTGTTTTCTGTTAAAATTATGTATAGTCCTTGTCATGTGCAGTTTACATTTCAATAGTAACATGAGTATTTGTGTGCAGCATTGAATCCCGTGAGCTGCGCTTCTCACGTGTAATGGTCTTTGCCATTGAGGAGATTAACAACAGTACAAAGCTGCTGCCAGGTATAAGGCTCGGTTATCAGATCCATGATTCATGCGCCGCAGTGCCCGTGGCAGTGCATGTGGCATTTCAGCTTTCTAATGGCCTGGACCCTGTGTTTTATACCAGTAATAATTGTTCTAAATCTGGTATGGTGATGGCTGTTGTTGGTGAGTCTGGTTCCACACCATCCATCAGCATTTCACACATCATCGGGTCCTTTAATATTCCTCTAGTAAATATTTTGACTTTTTGACTTTGTTTTAAAAATACAGCCATGCTTATATTTAATTGTGCCATTACATAATTACCCTAATCTGTTGCTTCCCTTCAGGTGAGTCACTTTGCCACTTGTGCATGCCTATCTGATAAGCGTCAGTACCCGAGCTTTTTCAGAACAATCCCCAGTGATCGGTTCCAGGCTGCGGCACTGGCCAAACTGGTGAAACACTTTGGATGGACTTGGATAGGTGCTCCCACAAAAGGGGCAGCCTCTCCAGTTCTGACTGAGTTCTGGGAGGATGCATTCAACTGCAGGCTGGAAAAAGGTGAGAACGTTGAGCCGATTTTTTTAATTTAACATATGTGATAGTCACAGTTGGCCTTGTAGGTGTTTTGTTTAATTGCATGAGTGGACCTTCTTGTAGTAAAAAGTCAATGGCTGTTTCATGACCCAAAGATCAGATTTTTTTATTTTTATTATAATCAATTAATACTGAACAAAGATAAAAGGTGGACAGAAGGTATGCCTGTGAGAAAATTCTTTCTTGATATGATGATCTGTGATCACATCAAATATAGGCACTCTGCTGACTTGTAGAAGATTTTGTATGACGCAGGGAATAATGAGTTCACCATCCCAGCAGTGAAGCAATAAACACAAGTATATTGTATGCACACAGTCTATAAGCCACCAAGATAAAAATGTATCAATTACAATATAGTTACATTAGTTTTCATTAGGCTGTTATACTGACAGTGACTTCAGATCATTTATTTTAAATATATTTAAACAGGTCATGTATGTATGTAAGTTATTCAATTAAGTTCAGTTTTATTGTATAGTGCCAAATCACAACAAAGGTCATCACAGGACACTTAAAAAAAATAAGGTATCAACTGCAGGCTGGAAAAAGGTGAGAACGTTGAGCCGATTTTTTTAATTTAACATATGTGATAGTCACAGTTGGCCTTGTAGGTGTTTTGTTTAATTGCATGAGTGGACCTTCTTGTAGTAAAAAGTCAATGGCTATTTCATGACCCAAAGACCAGATTTATTTATTTTTATTATAATCAATTAATACTGAACAAAGAGTGAATACATGCAAATGTACAGGAAGAGAGGCACTGTTAGACATTGTTTTATTTTTATAAATGTGTCCAATGACTTATTCATATTAATGTGAGTTGATATATGTGAAGATTAATTTTAAAAAACTTTTTTTCAATTTCAAAAGAAAACAAAACTTATCAAAACAAGATAAAGGTATGTGGGCAAATCAATGGATTGAAGTGTAATGAAAAATAAGCATGATTTATGAATAAATTAGAGTAATGTAAAAAATGAATTTTTATAGGGCACATTTGGTGGGTTTAATAAAATCAAATGGAAAATAAAATAATAATAATATATACACATAAAAATAATAATGTTCTATAACTGTCAAAGACAAATAGGACCTCACTCTGTCTCTCTATGTTTTTAGGTGCTGCCACAGACAGGAGGGTGTGTGATGGAAGTGAAGACATACAGAAACTCCAGAACCCGTACACTGACACATCTCAGCTCCGAATCTCTAACATGGTGTACAAGGCTGTTTATGCAATAGCACATGCCATTCATAACACAGTGTGTCAGGAGACTAATTCTACAACTCAGTGTGACAAACTCACCAGGATCGAGCCCAAACAGGTCACTTAAAAGGATGAAATGAGCAGTTCACTGTATTTATTTAAAAGTAATGTACCTTTTACTAAATGAAATATAACTTTTTCTTTGTATTTTTTTTTCTTCCATCATCCTCACAGGTTCTTACTCAGTTGAAGAAAGTAAATTTTTCCCAAAATGGTTATCATGTGTCATTTGATTCCAGTGGAGATCCTGTGGCCACATATGAGCTGGTTAACTGGCAGAAAAGTGAGAGGGGCAGCATTGTGTTGGTGACCGTAGGGTATTATGATGCACCACTGCCACTGGGCGAGGAGTTACATA